ACTCTATTCGTTGTTRTTTCGAGCCACAGCTGCCCGTACGGGGCAGCATCCCGAACGCCACACGGTGCATCTATTCCGATGGGTGGCACTGCTGGCTCGCGACCTCCTTCAGGAGATCCGTGACCAGGTCCAGCGACCTGCGGAGGSCGCGGACTTCGTTCTGGAGCTCCGTCATCTGGTGCTCGAGCCGCTGGGTGTCCGGGGAAGAAGGGGACCCAAACAACGACCGACCCGCGTAGCTTCCGGCCAGCAGCAGGCACACGGCTGCGATCGACGAAAGGACCGTGGACCGATCGAGCGGGCCAACAAGGCTTCCGAAAAGAGCCAGCAAGCCCGGCTCTGCCGTCCCGACGGGAACGGCATCGTCCTCGGCTTCGTCCTCGTCCTCCTCCCCGTCGCCAGGCTGCCCGCCCAAGGACTTCCGGGCCGCGTTTTTCACGGCGTCGAACAGGCGCAGGTGGACGTTCCTCGTCTCCTCGATGGTTCCGGACTCGATCTGGGACCTGAGCATCGTCCTCTTCTTGAAATTCACAAAGAGGCCGACCTCGACCTGGACATCCTTCGCACCTTTCCTCGTCGCTACCCAGCGCATCTCTACCGCAAAGGTGTCGGCGTACGGAATGCCATCGAATTCCGCGGAAATCGCAAGGACGCACCGATCCTTGCCTTCCACCCGGATGAAATGCCGCTGCTTCACGATTGCCACGGGCGGACCGATGTAGAGGTGGGTGGTACGATTGAACTTGAAAGTCACGAGACGGTACTGGTCGTATTCTTCGTTGCACCACTCGTTCCTGAATCTGGTGTCTTCGGCAATCTTCCATTCTTCCGTCGCAACATCGAAACATTCCTCTTCCTTCAGCCACGAACCGTAAAAGGATTCGCCCTCGGATCGGTCGGCCCATGCACTTTCAAACAAAGACTCAATCGACATATTTTTKATCGTCTTGGATAAGACAATGTTCATCTTCTYCAGCGTAGAATCCGGAGGAACTAAGGATGATTTTGCGTCAGCGGCAGTGTTGTCCTTTGGTGTTTCTGACGCCCTGCGCTCGTCACTTTCTTTCTTCAGCCTCTTCAGATGTGCCACGACCTCGTCCCTGTCCTTGAGACGGCAGAGAAGAAACGATAAGATTTCGTTGTCAGAGCGGTAAGATACAACCAAATCAGTGTCGTTGTTCGACCCCATGAATCCTTTTTCCTTTTCGATACCCGTGATAGTATCCCATTGCAACGTGAAATGCTTGTCAGATGCAAGGAAATAAATTGCATCCTTGGTTGTATAGAGTCGACCGTATAAATTGGAAGTCAAAAGGGTCACCCTTTCCTTTGGACGGTAAGCACAAAGATGTGTTTCAAGTATATCCGGAATCTTTTCGTCTTTTGGTTTCTTTGACCAAAAGCGCTTAATGAATGCCTTCATTTCAGAGCTCTCCTCGGTAGTAGAGACCTCTTTCTCCCCTATTTCGGACCTGACAGAATTGGTGCCATCGGTCGACGTCTCTGCGGGAGTGCTATCACTTGGAGAAATAGATTGGTCTGAGGGGATGTCGTTGCAACTAGCAACATCTCCTTCCTTTATTTCTTGATCTAGTGGTTCAATCTCCAAATCCAATGCTGCCAGTGTTGTGACGGTTTCGGTCACCCCCAAAATCCGACCAACGTTACCAGATTTGATAGGATTTATCACAAGAGTATACTCTGTAACCGCATCAGTTGAAGACAAGGATGACTGCTCAGCGTTCAATATTTTTTCTCGAAATCTCTTGGACCAATCTTCCTTGGTCGCCATCAACGATTGAAAAGAGGTATCAAGCTCTTTTGATACACGATTTTCAAACGCATTAGACCGAACCGTATTCAATGCATTCGCACTCTCTRTCAACTCTTCAACTGTATTTTTCATCTCAGTCCATCCGATRTCGTCTTCAGATTCAATTTTGCGTATGCGTTCTTTTGTATACGTTGTATAGGCAAGCACTGCACTTTTCTTTTTTACCCTCGCTTCCTCCAATGCGAGCTTGTCATTTGCTTCTTTCTGGTCTTTTTCGGCCATGCTAATCTGCGCAATCTGGACCATTGCATTTTCGGTGAGTTTCTTCATAGCATTGCCTCCTTTGAGGAATGCTAGGCCGACCTTATTTGGCGTTGATTGGATCGCTGAAGCACCGGATCCAGATCCAGAGGAATCGGTCCTTTTTCTCGGTGATTGTGGATTCTCGTCCGAATCTGTTGATCCCATTAACGACAACGAAAGACCTGCTTCCTTCGAAGAAGCTCGCTGTCGAGCAATTTCGACTTGCTGTTTCGTCTGTTTGTATCTTGATTCTAATCTCGTTTCGAAGCGGGCGGCATCGCATACCTGTTTCCATGCAGCATTGTCTGCATCATTTTCGATTTCTAAAGCTCTTTTGCATGAAGAGAACCATTTCTCCAATTTAGTAATTTTGAAAGCTACCTCAGAAACAAGCTTTGCTTCATCCTCAAATATTTTCAATATTGTTTCCCAAATAGATCCAGACTGAGAAGCAAYGAAGGATCCCGAAGCTTTAGCATCAGAAGCAGCTTTTCGTCTATCCCAATGTTTGGAAAAGGAAGATGGTGAGTTTGGTTGTCAAAATACGTAAGTCGGTTACGTTTTGTCCTGTTGCTACAGCGTCCTAAAAATAGGGACGTACCTTTGGTTTGTTATGTGAGAGCGCATCCTAAATGATGCCTTGGCGGTCACATTCGTGATTTCTTCAAATAATTTGATAATGGTTTCGGTTGCTTTAATGCGGTTTTCACGCTCTGTAAAGCGCGACTTCATCTTATCTCTCAGAACTCCGAGATCTTGAGAAAGCCCCAGCGTCTCGGCGTCCATGATGCCCATTCCCTCTTCGTAAGGAGTACTTTGAGTTTTGAACAAGTTCAAAGTCGAAAGCAAATTGTTGCCTTTTTCCTGTATTCCAAATTGTTTATCCTTATCGCTCATCTTGAGGGATGCTTGACTGGTAGATTTACTTCCGTCACCGCTATTTTCAGGGAAAATTTTCGCCAAAATATCATTTACAAAGAAGTTGATTTGATCTTCTTCGCCCTTTTGTATTTTGTTCAACGCAAGTCCTTCCTTTTCTTGTGATGATTGCACACATTCATTCTCTTTTTTTACACTAGCTATGTATGCCTGTTCACACGATTGAACAAGTCGAAGCTTWTTGATGAGGAGACAAGTGGAATCYACCTCGTTTTCCGTAGTACCAATTGTTTTCAAAGACTTTTCCCATGGCATATCTGTCTCCTGAATCTCTATTCCAACTTCACCTTCTTCTATCTCTTCGTTAGTCCGATTGATCTGCTTTTGTCGTAGATTCGAAAACCATAATTTGATCTCCGTCTCGGCAGTCTCCACAGCATTTGTGCCTTTCGAATAGTTTGATAGAGCAATAGTTCGCGCATCCACACTACCTTGCTTCGCTTCTTTGTACCATTTAAATGTCTTTTCTCTTTCGTTTCCAACAGTAGCCAATATCCTTTGTAGCGAGACAACAAGTTCGGAACGGTAGCATTGTGCTGAATCCCGGAAGCCACTGCCCATGGAAAAAATTGCTTCGTTCAGTGAACGAAAGTCGTCATCAATCGATGTTTTGAACGGCAACTGTTGTGGAGATATCATACGAGATACTCTCAAGAGATTGTTTCCGAGTGGTTCGTAAATTCCAGCCATACCAGATAGAAACTTTGAAACGCCACCAAGAAATAGAGCTGTTGAAAAATGTTCTTCCACAGCCAATTTCAATCCTGGCTCAACCGAAACGAGGAACGTCAAAACGAATGAACGAACGAACGAACGAACGAACAAACGACAGATGTCATAGTAAGATACCATAGGGTAAAGTCAACAATAAAGTGAAGAAGACGAGATTCAAATCAAAAAAATCTTCCGTCGACTTTTTTCCGTTTCTTACCCAATCCATGATGACTTCCAGCTTGGCTCGGTGAAAATCCTTGTGACTCGACTGGGCTCCCAAATATTTCGGACCAGTTTGACGAGAATGCAAAGGATCTCGTTGACACAATTTCATTATTGGGTATCTCCTCTTTTTCTTCGTTGACAACCGTAGAAGGTGATTCTTCGCCTAATGATGGTATCGTTTGTATTTCGCCTAGAGAATTTGAGCTCATATCGTCGTTGGCTGCTAGAGTGAGGTCTGTTTCAACCATCTCAGCAAGTTCTGTTTCAATTTTTTCCTGGGTAGATTGATTCTCGCAAGCTGACAATATTTCTTTTTTGGCTTTATCACTACTATTGCCAWYGTCCACTTCTTCTCCATCGTGGGGGAGGGGATTGGCATCCTCGGCTGATTCTTCCGTTGAAGGACTGCTCGTACTTKGCACCTCCATTCTCACGAGTTATCTTCCCTGTGAATCTAAATTACGTTCGCAAACGTTGTGGTTCGTTTGGTCACCTTTTCARGGCTGCGGGTGTCGTAATCGATACCTCTTTGCGCCGACTGATAGTAATGATTCGGATAAGTGACCGCCTCAAAATGAAGACGGATCGTATACAGTAATCTGCACGGGAGATGGATATTTTTTCAGAGAATTGATTTTCAGGTGAGTTGTGAGGAGAGTTAGCCTACGGTACCGGTACGTACGGCACTACAATAGCATACGAGGAGTCCTGTTGTCGGACATGCGCTCGGACTGGTGCTCCTACCGGTAGGCTTCCAGTAAGAATGAATTCGGAGTAAAACGCCGTTGATCGTAGGAACCCTACTAGATAGTGCTCCTAATGTCAAGCGCACTAAAGTCAAGTACTGTACTTGGCAATTCCCCGGGTGTCAATTTTTTTTCATTTTCCTGTCTTTACTTCTCCTCTCCCCCCCCCTCCACACAAAAAAATAGTCCCAAAATATTTCTATTAGTGGTCCTTACTACTGKGGATATAAAATCAGTGCTTACTACTTGAGAATTAATATTTGTGCTTACTACTTGATCACCTCCATTACTACTTACTAGTTGGGATGCCATAGTAGTGAACACTGCAAACTGCTGGGTAAGGGGGTTCTGTTGGTGCTTCTGGATGATGATACGAGTACTTCACGCTTACTCTTGCATAGCGCAAGAAAACTCAACATGTGAGACGTCGCAACACTATTAAGTAACTTTCGTACCGGCAAGTAGATAATTTAAAGGAGCTGGTGTGCCTTACGACACATAGTAGTAGTAGCAGAACTCCCATTACGTTCAAAAATAATGCTGGTACTATTACTAGAAGTACTATTAGTAGWACTGTTAGACTACCAATAATATTAACGCTACCACTACKAGYAMTGTACTACTCCCTATAGCACACCGACGACACTCCATTCCATGACAATGAGTACACAAAAGGCCCGGTGAACGCCAATGAAATTCTTCTCCTACACCAGCAAACTCTATAGATTGCGCAATAGGACAACATGTGACTATGTGAATCTGTCTCGGACTGATTTGATAGAGGAAAATTGCATCTCATCATGATTGGCTCGTATGATTGCTGTCCTGTTACTGRTGCACTCACAACCAGCACCCAAATTGTGTCGATTCTGATAGAGTGAGCACCCTAGGATCGGAGAATCCTTGGAGAAATAAACAAGTCACCAATTTAAGCAACAGGGGGGATAGGGATATTTGAAGGCAATGCGGAAGGCGAAGCACTAGGGGCAGCGCTCGGAGCAGCAGAAGGCGATGCACTCGGACCAGCGGAAGGCGATGCGCTAGGGGCAGCGCTCGGAGCAGCAGAAGGCGATGC